GGAACCTGTTTCACAGATATATTGTGCGGAGGATGCAAGACTCAAGAGAAAACCCCACAAATTCTGAAGAATTAGTCATACAACAGCCTAGTGGTCTACTCTGCATGTTATATATAGACTGGATAAGGGAATACAGCTTCCACAAAGCCAAACTGAACCATAATAAAGCAGATTCCAAATCAAAGCTCCAGTTAATTCCTCTAAAGCCCCACAATAATCTATAAATGTGAGCAATTATGAGACAAGCCAAGATATGTCAATCAAGTTTCTAATTCCACTTAATGAGAATCAGGTAGGGACTGCCAACAATATCTTGTTCTTTCATAAATCCAATTTCGCAATGCTAACGCTTAAGTCGGAAACAGACTGCTGCCAGAATGAATATGAAAGGTCTGATAATTCATAATGACTACGTGTACCACAAAATCTGCCTTGAATGTCCTTTCGGTAATTAAGTGGAAGGAGCTGCCAAGAGTCACCCTTGCACTGAAGCAACGGCCATAGACGAGCATCAGCAATTTCAACAGTTAATAAAATCTGGTTAAGACAGTACATGACAATGTTAAATTGCTTTCATTAACTGTAGCATCAGCATACTGTATGTGTGAAGATCTCTGATACTTCGGTGAGCCCCTGGGTGCAAACATCACTGCCATTTCTTTTTGGTAAAGTCAGCCAATGAAAGTAACCTGTGAACGTCTTTTAAAATGGAACAAGAACAATTCACTCCTATTCATGGTCACTGCATCATTTAAATCAGTCTACTGCTTTCCCCAGAATATATGCTGTTGTATGACAACACTCAGGGACAAAACATTTGCATGTTACTGTTTTCAGATTTACTGTACTAAGGCTGCTAAGCCAGGAGTGACCCACAAAACATGCCAGATGTCTGCGAATGTGAGAGAGGGTTACCTCCTCCAATCGATGGTAACCCATAGCCATGTTTTTAATGACACTCAGAAGTGCAGTGTGCAAGGTCAAAGACTAGCTCAAGGGTTTCAGGAAAGTTTTACAACACTTGTGCCCAGCTATCAGATAGGGATCTACGGCCCAGATATTGCAGGTTCAAACTCTGAAGGTCTCCAATTAGAGCTGGCAGTGTGGTTGTTAATCTGCTACAGTCTTGTCTGTGTTTCTCTGGAGAAACAGTGACTCCTATTGGTTACCAGGTGCCTGCAGGCTTGCAGGGACAGAGGTAAATATGCGTATTTCTATATAGGTAGGAGCAGAAGTGAGTTACTGTAGTTAAGGATCTGATCTTCCTCCAAAATGTCTGCTAAACACTCCATTTACAATTTTTACCTTGATTTTACCTTTTAAGCATTAAAAAAACTTTTCTTTTCGCTCAATGACAAAGATAACATTGAGCATATTCAATATCTAAGATATGACTATCTTAAAGAGGAACTTTAAATAACTGCCTTTGTTTAAAAACAAACGATGTTTTATAACACACAAGCTGACAAACACTGCTGTTTGATTACCTGCAGATAGAAAAAAAACATTTATTGTAGATACTGTATTGCCTTATTTTGTTTATTTGCACATGAATAGCCTAAAATTATATACACACAAAAAAACACTAAAAATGGTCATCTACAATATAGGAAAATACACATCTAAACACACATTCTTGTCGTGCAGCATGATTTTATAAGTGTGCGCCAGTAATTTGATTTACAGCTTGAGAACTGCAGCCAACTGTTCTTCCTTACAACCCATCGCATTTCGCACCATAAAAAAGCAGATTTATCCCATGCTTTGAACAGGTTTGTGTAACGAACAGTTCTTTCCGGACCCTATGCGGACGACACAATCTGACGGAGTGGGGAAACACTAGGGAAACGTCATGCAGGAATACGGGGCTGAAGACAGGGGGGCGTGTCCAAGGTGCGCTGGTGCATGGGGGAGGTGCGTGGCCGAGGCGAACAATCCCAAAGAGAAGTCCTTAGAGTATCCAAAACACAAGGGTAAGTCCAAAACCAGAAGATCCATCAGAACAAGGAATTAAAAACCACGAAGGCCGGGTCGGAACCGGCGGACGGGGAACAGGAACGGGAACAGAGGGTAAAACCTTAACGGGACCAGGCGCTTCCAGGTCCCGGACTCGCACGATATGGAAATCAGATGCAGAGCCCGGATGAGCGTCAGCGCCTGGCTTTTAAGGTGGGCTGTGAATGGGAAACGGGTGCACAGAATAAAGTCTTGAGTGAAAGGGCTGGAGCACCCTTAAGGAGGGGGGACTATAATCGTGACAGTTTGTTCACTGGTTCCTGTGTGCGGCTGCCAGCTCTCCTTTCTGACTTGATCTGTCTTGTACGGCTGTTGCTCTCGTTAGTACACCAGTAAGTGAGTAACCCACGTTGGCAAACCGTAAAGCAGTTCCAGGTGAGCTGCAGCCTCCACCTGAATAAAGCAGTGTTTGGTAGTGATGTCCTCACAGGCTCTGCTGTCTAGACAGACCCTCCTCCTGTACAGAGCTTCAGGTAGAAACCGCTGGCCTGGGCACTGATGCCTGCTCCCCGGCCTCTTTCTAACAAGTGGCTGGAGCCGTCCTCTAGTGGAAAACACATGGACTTCTTGGGACGAATGGCCTCCTGTGGGTCCTAACCTTCTTTATGGCCTTAGTTTTGGACAGAACTGAGTGCGGATCCACAACACGACAAAGTGAAATAGTAACACCGGGACAGAAAACGGGCAGCGAGATCTTTTCCGTTCCGTAGACTCTCCTGCAAACTGCAGCTGACAGCTGATGGACCAATTGACACCTCATGCATTTCTGCAGGGCAAGCGCAGGAAGAGCAAACAGCTGCTTACTTCAAAATAAAATCACGGAAAACAGCGTGCAGCCAGGGGATATTAATAAGAACATGTCTGAGCATGGCTAAAATGTGGAAGTACAGTACCAACAGGGATGAGAGCAGTTGGACAGGAGTAAGCCACTCTGGTGTTTGAAGAACCGGGGTCCTGCTCTTTTCATAATGAGGTCTAAATCGCCGCTGGCTGGAGATTTAACAAAAACTAGAAATCAACATGACACTCTGGGATGAGGGTTGTCTACCCCTAAGTAAGAAATACTGTACTTTAAGTACATGGCAATGAAGAAAGAAAAATCAGAGGTCTGAATATCTCACCACATCCAGTGCAATTTTAACCTGGCAAAACAATAAAGAAGCAGGGGCACCATCTTCATTGAGCTGACTTTCCTCCCTCTTATCCACCATTTCATACAGGTTCTACTACATTTTTAATCGCTTATATGTGTTGCGTCCTCAGGGGGATCCTAATGTTTGTAAAAATGTACAGATTTACAGATTTGAGATTTTCTGCAAATGTTGCCGTCTTCTAAAACAAAACAAAAAAATACATTGCCCTCCCAAATAAAATTACATTAGAAATGTTTTGCATCTTTTTTTAAAAAAGGAAAGTATCAAAAGAATGAGCAAAGAGACAAAATGTATTACAGTACAGTATATATTTCTTGATAACTGGGTCAACTAAACATCAACACTCTCACAATTAACTACAGTAATTCACGTTTGGATCAGTCTCTCATTGACAAAGAACTCAGACAGGTTTCTGAAAATCATTATGGAGACCAAGCTCATTAAAGGTCACTCTTTCCCAGTATTCTCACCAGTTTGTGTCTAAGCAGGTGACAAAAAGGTGTGTGGCACAGGACTTAGGAGGGTATTCTTATGCCAGCTGGTAGCTACTCAGTACAACTCGCTTTTCTTGTGTCACCAACTGGAACCTCTCCCATTGTGTTTCTTCTCTATTTTGAGGTGAGAATAACAAACCTGAGTTTGGGAAATGAATCATTTAAATAAGGGATCCTGTGAGGGTTAATTCTCAGAGCACAGCTACTGCAGCTATTTGCTCAAACTATTTTAATTTTAAATACTGTATGAATGCAGGAAAACGCAAACAAAGCTACTGCCCTGGGAACAAACTGAACTAGATTTTGATGAGTGTTTTTTTAAGAAATCTTTAACACACTCTTACAGGCAACTTATGGAAGACAGTATGGACACTTACTAGGTGCCCATAGTGGTATGGACTGCTGCCCAGCCACATGGCGACATATAAATGAGAGCCTAAACATGCTGGAGGGTTTCAGCACAGAACAGCTGTCAATGTGCAAAGAGGAGGTTTTAGGATGAAGTGCTCAAAACGCACCTTATAGATAAGGAAAGGCATTCTGTAGAGAAGCTGAATAGGCTCAGAATTCACTCATCCTTGGTATCACAATTGGATGCCTGAAAAAGGGATGAGGGTGAGATTTCGTTTTGCTGGCATGAGGAGTTTTAGAAGAATGGAAGAATGTGCATACAGTCCTGGGCTGAAGGCTGTTTATTATGTGTCCTATCTAGAACAAACAAAGGGGAATTTTTAATGCATCTCAATGTACGCCTTACAGCATTTAGGAAACTAAAAATATTCAAACCATCACTGATAACCAAGCAATCAAGGCAGTCGTGGGAATAATTATTTGCTTCACACCAGACCGAAAGAGAAAACGGATCTAACTTGAATATGGTGGCAGGAGATCAAGGGCATGTGCTGAGAAAAATAAACTGTACACATCGCGCCTCAAACATTTCAAAGAGAAAATCGCCAATAAATGTTATCAGACTTCAAAACCAGTGTTTCAGTAGTTCCGTCAGATCCTTAATGGATGCAAGACAGAGATAACGTATGCAAAGAGAATTTGGTGCACCGCGCCTAGCGGAGGGGAGGGCAGCCTATCTGAGGGTAGCTACTCAAACGTAGCTAAGAGTAAGGCTGTCCGAACCTCCCTCAGCATTGTGAGGAATGAGCCAGGGAGCTGCTGCAAGAGTGCAGATGGGTAGGTGGGGTGCAGGGAGTGCAAGCAAGATCAGAGCGTGGGGAAGACCTGGGTGCGAGACTTGTATACGTACTACAGGTGAGCAGAGGTGTGGGAGGTTAGGACCAAACCTTCCTCCCAAAAGCCTGTTGAGAAGCACCATACTGACCTGTCCTTCCCCGTCTCCAGTTTGAACACCTTGTCGCAGTAGTTCATCCGCTCCTCCGTGGTGACGAAGACCTTGGCCTGGGGGTAGTTCTCCACCACCTGCTGCAGCATGTTGTACACGATGCCTTTCCCGTCCTTGCGCATGTTGCGCAGGGGCCCCCAGATGACGTAGATGGTGTTGTTGGCTTGCCCGAAGAAGTACTGCTGCTTCTGCAGCAGCAGAGGCACGCTGGTGTGGGACACCACCCTGAGTGTGGTCTTCCTGCCCACATCCCTCTCGAAGCCCCCGGTGGGCGCGTTGTTCATCCTCCACACGCAGGAGGACTGGTCGATCTCTGGCCCGGCCTCCCTGCCCAGCATCTGGCCCGAGCTGGACACAATACTGCAGGCGTCACAGTCCAGCTTGAGAGGCTGAAAGACACAAGCGTTCCGCGCAGACTCAGTAAAGAGCCGCTGGGTTTCTGAGAGCTTAGAAAGAGGAGATCCAGGATCTACCGCAAAGTCTTCCCAGCGCGCTTGGCAACTGAGAGAACAGATTGCTAGGGAGAAAAAATTAAGTGAAAATAAAACCGAAGACATTTTGCACTTTTCAAAATGTTAAGATTATCAGTGCCTGTCATGCCAAATGAAGAGCAATCAGATGTAGCGGAATTGTTTAGATTTTCCATAGTGCAGTGGCACCAGTTCAGTTATAGCCCTCTGCATTGAGCGGATGTATCAGACCCTGCATGATGTGTAAGGGTCTGCTCTCGTTTAAGCACAGTCTTGTGCTGTGGTCATGATGGCAGATGTGATCTTTATGTCATTATAATCCGCATAAGGCCCTTGTTGTGGCCAATAGACAACTCTGCAAGTTTGTCACTAGAAACTGTTTTCAAAGGCTCAAGGCTTGAGGTGCTTAAGTTCAGTCCTGTGTTCATGAACTACTTGGTAAGGCAGGTTCTCCAGCTTTCCCCACTTTCTAAGGCCGAAGTGTCGGAATAAAACAACTAACAAACGGGCAGGTTGCCCTCCCGAAGCAGCAAGATGGGGGAGTAGTGTCTGAGAGGGCGATTTTTCAAACACCTCTTCCCAGGTAGAAAATCTGTCATTTTACTCTTTTCCTCACACAGTACTGAAGTACCTAATTCGCATGACTGAACTTAAACTGTAATTCAGTATGTCAAAGGTAGAGAGCCCTTATGTCCATCATTCTCTGTTCATGGTGGAGGCAAGGGAAATAGACAGAAAAACACTTAAAAACGCTTCAAGGAAATATATAAAAATATATAACTAGGACACTTCTCCATTGTGCAGGATGTGGGCATACACTCAGATTTTATTGGCATGGCAGTAAAGTCTAATATTCGTCATTAAGAAAGTGGCAATGACTTACATAGAATTTAGAGGGACAGCCTAGCAAATCTGTTTCTAACTCTACATTTATCTCTAACAAATGTTTCATTTACAGCACAACTCGTTTTCACCCCACAGGATAAGTACAGTGTGACCATGCATCGGAGGAAAATACACAGACATCAGAATGAGTTCTTACTCAAATCTCGCTTCATCTGGAACAGTTATTGCCATAATGATACGAATGCCAGCCAAACTGAAAGCAAATCTGCTGTTTCTGCAGGTCATTTATCAGGATAGGATAATGTGAATTTTTCATCAAATCCTAAGCCTTATGTGACTGCCTGGACATAAAATAAGACGAGGTCATTCAAAAGTGTTCATACAAAATTGAGCAGGCTGATCTTAGAGACGCAAACCTAACATTAGCTATATATTGATTTGTCTCTGTGTATTTTTAGATTTCTTGAAATCTCTAGGATTGAAGATTAGAACAGTTAGATTGTCCTACAGTATCTCTCTCTAAAGACCCATGACTTTACAGGAAGAAGGTCATGGCTTTTTATAAGGTCATAAGAACATGAAGTTTACAAATTAGAGGAGGGCACTTGGCACAGCAAGAACAACGACTTTGCTTTCTAGTACCCAACTGATCCTGTTATCTCATCCGGCTCTTATAGTATATCCTTTTTTGTTGTTTGAAAAGCATGGAGATCAAATACAATAGTGAGTGGGAACAGCCTGTCTTAAACTAGGCAATTGATAAGTAATCAAACACTATGTTTAAAACATACAGTGTGTAAAGCATTACCTAAAAATTAGGTCATCTAAACATTGGTACATTTACAGTGCAACAATTAAGTACTTCACAGCAGAGTCTGCAGTGTCAGTTCTTAATATACCCTCTGTCATACTCATCACGGAACCTGCAAAGCATTACATCAGTTCTGAAGCAATTGATCTTCCATCTATGAGAAATACATATATTCATATTAACCTTTATTGGATCAAAGGGAAGGGAAATTGCACTGCGTGTAATTGCAAGCCATTAATTTTCAATTTTGGTCAAAGATGACTTTAAGAATTAGAATCTGAAATACGAAAAACTTCACAGACTGCCCAATCTCCTTTATAAAGCATTAAAGTTACCATATCACCCACTTTAAACGAGTTTAATCTCCTGAAAAAAAAAACTAAGCACATTAACTACAATGAAAAACACCTTCCATTCCGTCATCTGCACAGACAAGCACTGTGGCAAGTGATTTTCTTTTACTTAGTCGGGTTTAGCTGAAAGCAATTATTCAAGGTGCTGCACAAGCCCATTGACTAAAGCACATTCTGAGCAAACTACATGCCTTCCTTATATTTCTAGAATTTCACAAAAACCTTTCACATAGGTCCATCGGAGACATGAGACATGTCCCCGTTCCTCTTTTACTAAAGTAAAAACGGCGAATATAGACTTCCCAACAGCATAGACTTTGTAAAAGCAGACTAAGAGACCTAGATTCATACCCTTACATAAACTGCACTTAAATACAGGGGTTCCCACCGCTGGTCCTGGGGACCCCCCATATCTGCTGGCTTCATTACAGCCAAGTTCTTTATTCAAACTAATCCTGATCCAGCAAGGTCCTTTGCCATTTTATTTTTACCCAAAGGTGGGAGATTCGAGGGTTCGGTTATTCGATCGAAAGCTCAGGTGAAAACCAAAAGAGTAAATGTGTAGGCCCCCCAGAAAAGGATTAGGTCACCCCCCCGCTACAATGCGATGGCTTTGTTTAAAACCAGGAGCTAGCTTTCAGACCAGACATTCATCTTCTACAGCACCTTACATCAGTAGCTCTGCCTACCAGAGACATTGCGATTAGCCCTTTTCACAGTTCATCAAACACAGGACATCATTTATGAAGTGTTAGTGAGATCCCACTTTTACCAGCTTCAGGAGTTGAAATGTGGCAGCTGTTCACCATGGCAACAAAGCCATCTCTACTATCTCAGCAGGTGCTGAGCGCCTTGTATGTTTTATTTGAAGGGCCATCTGCAAAAAAAGAAAGATTTTTCTTTTTTTTTTTAAGTGCTCCTCTGACGCTTAAGCTAGAGGCCTAAACCTGATTACTCTGTCTGCAGCTGCAGAGAGATAAGCTATTGTTTGCAAGAACCTGTGCATGTAACTGTCTTTCTAATTTCCAGCCAGAGAGGAAAAAAAGGGGACCTGATAAATTTGTCTATTAAAATTAGAGAGCCTGTTGGAGCAAAGGCATATTAAGGTACCTGGACAATCAGGGATCAAAATATTTAACGGTCAAAAAAGTATATACAGTAGATACAAAATCTGTAATCACAGTTTAATCCTTCAAACCAAGAAATGCCTTTCTGGAGTACGCAAAGGATGCTCAGACCGTGGAGCTTCTGTGACCACTGAGCAATGCCGAAAAATGTATCTTCCCAGTATCGTCCTCTTCCAGGCGATACCAAGGCTCCTCAAAAAGCCAAATAGCGGCTGTTTGTATCATCCAGTCAACACATCAGTCAACTCCTACTGTCAGTTTCTCGTTGTTTCATAGATATGCATGATGTTCTGATTTTCAGCAGTGTGTTTGAGGAAGATGTGGCCAGTTGAGGTTTGGAAAGCGCTTTTGCGACGTTCCCCTGCGCTGTGCCTTGCTGAGCCCTTGCCAGGGAGCCTGGAGGAAGGAGGCTGTGCGGTTTGGGTGTCTCCTCCTTTAGCAGTGCTCTGTTCTTTCGTCCACCCCTTCATTATCACAATGCTGTACGTGTTGGTCAGCCATCACAGCCCATTTACAGCGAATCACACATCGCGCACGATAAATATACAGCAGCCAGTATCTTCAGGAGCGTCAACGCGGTTTCCCCCAGTTTGGCCAGCTCTGCTTTGCTCGTCAGTTCAAAATCAAGCTGAACTACAAGAATAAGCACATCTGATCCCCTGCTGACATCGTTGATATCATGAGCCTCGTACGTATGAAATTGACCATTCTGGCAATCCTAAAATAATGTCTTGAGTTGAAATGAAAATAAGGTGGGTTTTTTTTACCCCTTTAATTTGAGTCTTTTTCCTATATACTTACATGTACAGTATAAGAGTAAAAAAAGAGCAGATTGTACGATTTAAATTGCCTAGCCCTGATAAGTATCACAGTGATAAATTAATATGGGAATAGGAGAATCTTGTGGATAAGCCCAGTGCTGCTGTGGGTCTCTAACTGGGCCACTCAAGCATTCAAAGCACGTGAGTGAGCTTATCATAAACTCATACAGTAAAACTCCATATACCACACTGCATTGGAATCTGGCAGAGATAATGCTATCTAATGGGCATAACAACCAGCGTGACTTCAGTCTGAGTCGTGCTCAGTTCCAAGAAGGGGAATGCATCTGCCTTCCAGCTGAACAGAACTAAATAACATGAAAAATGTTTTGAGCCCAAGGAGATTAATAAGAAATTTCAGGAAAGCCTTATCGTTGGGGAACGGAACAGTTTTCCTGGGGTGTGGAATGTGTTTATTTCCCACACATTAATATGTAAACCTTACACCCCGCAGCTCAGAATCTTGAGGCGATGCATGTGACCTTGAGTCAATGTCTTTACAAGATACAGCTCTAAGCCGTCTTGCACCAAAGAGTGAACTGCTATACAGTGACGCTTCTTGTGTTTATCCAGAGCTTAAGCTGGAATAACACATTCCACAAAGATACAACACGCAGTGACTTCTCGAGTAGCTTTAGAAAAAATGCAGCGCGACAAACAGGCAGAGCGAATCGTGCCAGCATCCAGACAATATGAAATTATCTAATACTCAATCATTGGGAGGTAAGCATATTTAGTCTTGAAATAAAAATGCAATTTTCCTCTGCGCTTTTAAAGCTAGGTTTAATAAGGCTGATCGTGGTGCAGCACATTGTTCACAAACTATTTCCTAAAGCACACCCTTAAGAACACGTTTGAGTCCCGAGTGCTCAGATCCCACCCCACACTTCTCCACATTGCTCCGACCCTCCAGTTTTCCGTGAACTTAAAAGAGGGCTGGCACCTTTGATGTCCTGTCTAT